GTCAACCATGGAATCAAAATCAGAAATATCTCTCGTTTCACTGCAAAACAAATGAAGTAAATTTTAGTAGTCAACGATATAGTGTAATCTAGTAAGTACACGCCTAATGTGAGATTGCAAAAGTATAGTTGATTGATTAAACATAATAGATAAATACCTGAGTTTGTGACAACAAAATTTCTTTAAAAACTATATTTTTTGTAAACTCCCCTTCTTCCCCACTTACTCTTCCGTCTTTAATTAGCACTCTTGTTGCAGCCCGCGAAACACCTCTTGATAAAGCAACATACAATTGTCCGTGACTGAAAACATGTCGTGGAAGATAAATTCCAACATTTGGAATTGTTTGTCCTTGGGATTTATTTATAGTGAGTGCAAAGCTTAGTTTGACAGGAAACTGTTTTCTAATAAGCACAAAAGGAAGTCCCGCACCTTCAGTGGTTTTGAGCTTAATTCTTGGCAAGAAAGCTCTTTTTCCAGCATTGTGGCCTGTAAGTATTTCAACATCAAGCAAATTCATAAAAAAACCACGACATAACAACCTTGTCCCATTACACAACCCAAATTTAGGGTCTATGTTTCGCAACAACATCAGTGGAGCCCCTATTTTTATCTTTAAAATATGTGGCGGTAAAGCACCAGGAGCAATTGTGTGCAAGTATTCCTGTTGATATAGATTATGAGTATCACCCTCAACCTCATCAAAAGATAACAAAATGTGTTCATCTCCAGGGAATTTATCAATAATCATGTCATTCAACATATGCGCATCACAATTTTTTGGAGTAAGTATCGCTCTCTCCACCATATATGAAGCATCCCATCCATGGTTTTCTAAACGGGGGAATGTATGTTGTATAAGCTTTTGTATGGAGACTTCTCCTTCCCAAGGTATTACAATTTCAGCAGGCATTCTGACCATGTCATCCGCTTTAGTAGGTTCATTACCATCTCCAATCCTCATTAGAAACTGCGCAAAGTCCTGGTCATGAATTGATCGCATGTTTTGGCGCAAATGTAGGACCTTTGTGGTGGCCCATAATCGAGACCTAACAATACATGCTGAAATCATTTGTCCTCTATTTCCTTTTTCAATAACTGGTAGCACCTGACGAAAATCTCCGCCCATGATCATTATTTTTCCACCAAATGGAGCATTGTTATTCATGATGTCTTGAAGTGATCGATCCAATGCTTCTACACAATATCTATTTATCATGGGTGCTTCATCCCAAATGATTGCATTGGTTATTCTAATGAGTTTTGCAAATGGAATGGGGCTCTATATCAATGGGGATCCCAAATCGAGAGTGTGCAGTTCTACCACCAGGTAATAATGTAGCAGCTATACCAGAGGAAGCTGTTGCTAAGATAATTTCATTATTACGCCTCAAATTTGCCATTATAGTTCGATAAAGGAAAGTTTTACCTGTCCCTCCAGGACCATCAACAAAAAAAGTTTGACTTTGTTTTTGGTGGATGGCGTTCATAATTATATTGTAAGCACTCATCTGGTCATTATTTAACTTCACAACAGATTGAACGTCTTCGTTTGGAATTTGGACCGATAACTCTTCCTGAATAATTGTTGGCATTCCCCCGACATCATTTGTTTCCGTTGTCAACATTGGAAGATCGTAGTTTTTTATTAGTTTTCCATGCAGTAGCAAAAGATCCCTCAATTCCCTCAATAACATATTTTCAAAGTTATCCCCCACAACAACATTTGTCATTTGATAATCCTCCACCATGTAGGGATAAAACTCAGTAAATAGGCCTCTAACATCAGTTGGTTCACAAAAAATTAATATAGTCACAAACAACCTTCGTAAAGCATATGGCATACGCATATTTGATGCTTCAAGCAAACATTCACGAATACTATTATCACTCTCTAATAACCCCCAATCCTCAGCTGATTTTTTAAATGTGAAAAAAGACAAACCATTATGTGTAAGAAGGTATTCCCAGCTTGTTGGACCTCTTAAATGAGACAACAAAACACGTAAGTAAAATTTCTCACCTTCTGAAGGGGATACTGTATAGATTCGACCAATAACTTTTCGTTTTCTCTGTCTTCGCTGCCATTTTTTGACCCCTTTTAGCCAACAATAATGCTCTGGAATCTCTCTGTACAAATAATTCCTAGCATGTGGATCCATTTGGTTTAGTGCAAAGAATTCAGTGAGCATGGTTACTGCATTTTGGTTATCATTGAGCACACCTGTGATTCTTTGATGCTTATAAAACCGCACTTGATGATGATTTGGCAAGTGGATTTGTAGTCTCTCAACAGAGGGATATAACTTGTAAAGTGTGAATTTAAATATTTTCCACAATGCCTCTGGAGCACAAATCCATCTTGCATCAACATATTGTTGAATCTCATCCAAACCTGTACCGCTGTGAACTTCCATCGCAACTCGATCAGGACCTTTGTAAACATATTTATACAAATATTTAATGCTTTTGATACTGCTGCAAATCTCGACATTGATGTGGCAATCATACTTCAGCAACAACCATGGGTTATAAGGAACCACCCATCTATTATCAATAGACTTATTTCTATTTAGAAAAATGGGATCACTAAACCTTCTCCTGTATTCCGGGTATGAGTCATTTCCCTGACGCGTTTCTTCACAAAATTCTTTTGGGTATCTTTTTTTACAATGACCATTCTTCATACATGGAGATTTTTGATTCAATACTCCACATAGACCATGGATCATGTGTTTTAACACCGCTTCATACAATTCTGGCTCAGACTCATGTTGTGGTATTTCTGCCTTCACCACACTATCATACTCTTCAGGTTCCCGTAACTTGTCATCAGTATCCAAGATGAGTAGCATATGCACATGTGGTAGTCCACGTTTCTGAAATTCCGTTACATACATATAACTTCTAACTCTCCCTAAGACTCCTTTATTAATGACATCATCCTTCAACTGCTCAAATTTTGATCGAAAAATTCTTGTTAGCAAATCAGGTCGATCTTGTGGAGTTTGATGGATGCCTAATTTGGAAGTTATCTCAATCCAGGAAGGATTGCATGTCATTGTAAGGAATATATCCGGTTTACCATCAGTAAGAACAATAGCCATACCATCTTGATATCTTTGTGTCATGTCTAGCTTACTTCCAATAAATGATGATGGTAATATTGTCATTTGTCCAACATTATCTATAGAAATATATGAAAATTTTAAAAAAATTATAGTGGCAAACATAAAGTGGATGCTCTTCATATATAAATCTAACATGTTATATTAAATACCTGCGTTATTCTCCCCATCGTGCAATGCATCTTGTAACCCCTGATATACCTCAGACCGAATATTATTTTGATTTCTTCGAATCCATCTCAACCTTCCTGTTTCAATCTTTACATAATTGTCTACAACATACTGTTGTAAAAGTCGACCCGATTTTAACAATACAAATTGATCATTATGTCGAATCTACATTGAAAAAAATAATCAATCATGACCTATTTTTTTACACTTTAAGAAGTAAATTTCTTTTAAAAAAAAGTTTAGCATGTACCTGAAGCACATAACTGTAGTACTCTCGGCATGTAACATTTTTTCCAACATTATTTTTTGTTTCTATGTCCCAACCGTATGTTCCGAACGGAAACAATATAGGATATTGTAAAGGATCATAATACCCAATTGTTTCTTGAACCTTTGTTAGATTTCCATCACAACTGATGACATTTATATCTCTTCCACGTTCTATTGTATCTTCATCACCACCACCAATAACAATTGCTGCAACTTGAGAAGCTGAAGGGAGACTATATTGTGGCTGATTAGACGGACGTTCTTTAATGAGTAACCTACATTCTTCAACATTTGGCTCTAGTGCAAGCTGCCTAAACTTGATGACAAACGGGTTGCATTGATGGAGTATTTTTTGCAATTTATACACTATGGCTTGGTTAAGTATTGGGTTTTCCCTCATCCTATTTTGAAGCTCATGATCAGTATCATAAATGTATAGCTGCAAGTAGCGTGGCCTTGAACCTTGATTCGGATGAAAACCTCCTATTTTATGATAAATTGTGCCTTGTGCACGAAATGTGTAAATACCATGACCAGTTGTAACCAAAGTGAAGTAAACGACATTACATGGTTGTAACTTCTAATATGTTGTCTAAAATGTCGTCCTTCAGTAGAAGTGTCTGAAAATAACTGTAACAACTCGTCAGGAGCAGACACTTGTGTAATTGTCACCTTTCCACCCTTGCAACACATATCTTGAGATTCTTTATGAAACAATTTTGCAGTGCATCGTCTACACTCACTTGAAGGAGGCAGTAGGGATTTGACTGTCATAACAGTATTTCGAAAATTTCTAGCAATGTTATGTCTTGCTTGAAAAACATACCGTGAATCTGTGTTTTATTACATTTAAAACATCCATTAAAAAAATATACTTATTATATACATGCTTACTAACATGAAATTTATAATTAATATTAAATAAAAAATGTCATTTAAACTTTTACGTGTGCATTTAAAAAGCGAGCGCACAGGCACGCGAGTGCCCATCTGGACGCTAGTATTGCTTAAATAAAAACATACAATATATATTATAGATTAGAAATAGATAATCGTACCTTGATCAAAAACTGACTGTGTTTCGTGAGTTTCAACCGCTGGATTCATATTTTGCGAAGGTGATTCTACAAAATAAAGTATTAACTTCAATATAGAGTTATAGTTGAAAAATAACAATAATGTATAAATCTAAATATTACTATTAATGTGATTATTATTGACAGAATTATACTTACCACAATCATTGTCATCAATATTTCTTATAGATGGTCTTGCTTCGTTGTTATTAGTTTGTTGAAAAATTGGGCATGGAAAATTTTGATCTGTAAATTAGTTTTGAATTAATAGATCAGACAATCATTTTTGCATAATTAATTAATATATTTTAAATTTAATGTGTTAAAGTATAATGTATAACAAAAATTAAAGTTTCTAACCCGGGGATGAAATGCGACTGACATGTGCATTACTCGGTCCAGCTTCACTGTCATGTGCCATCGGAAACAATCGAGAAGCAAGATTGACATTCGTCAAGTCTTGAAATGGCATTATGGTTCTCATATTAGAAGTATTATATGTTTGAACTTGTTTCCCTTTGTCTTTTTTTTGTCTGTAATTCGAACGCCTTCTAGCTAATTCTTGTTGTCTTTGCTCAACACTCATCCGTTGTCTTCGATCTCTTGCATTTTGTGCTCGTATTTCCCTTTGACGCTCTCTTAAATCTTGTCTACGGATATTTTCCATTATATTATTTTATCTGTAAAATTAAATGTAATATTTAAAATTTTTATAATACAAAAATGAATGTGTCGTGTACTATAGATACGATATGACATACTGCAATTCACAATTACTCAACAATGTTTAATTATTAATTCACTCTCCATCTAATCATTCTTCTACTTCTTAAAAAAAATTCTCCCATAAATTCCAAATCAATTATTATTATACGGCTCTTTTTATATATATTACCACCCACGTGTGTTGTCTAAAAACACGACATCATCATTTTGACCCACCAAAACTTGAATTCACGTGATTCCATCTACTTCATCCTCTCTCTAAATACAAAATTCCAAAGAAATAATTCTTCCCAATTTTTTATAAATATTATGAATATCATAAAGTTGTAATATGTAGAATTCAACTAAAAAAAGCATGCCCTATACACTTGTTTATATTGTCAATCGCAAGTTTGTCGTGAAATAATCTTACGCGAGAATAAGCATTTTCCTTCATGATACTGTCATATATTTGTCCTAAATAAAAAAATTTCCAACTTAAAACAACAACTAAAATATAAAATGCACCTTTGTGAATACCACACTCTCTTGCGATGTCAAGTAAGTTGTCTGCACCCAAAACAATGGAAATTAAGCTTAATAATAAAACTGAAATGACATATTATAGTTATACTGACATTAATAATATAATACGTACAAAATAGGAAAGTTAATCTTGCAAGATAATCTAAGATAGAGATTTTCAAAAATAAATAAATAAAAAACTAATCCTGCTCAGTAAACTATAATATACTACATAATATCCAAATATCATATATAGTCTAACACCCACATTATTAAAGAAGATTGGGTTAGCTCTAGTCATAAAGTTATAGCATGAGATATGATCAATATTAGTGTCAAGACTATCCTAGGCACACCTGTACCAGAAACTGAGAATAACTTCCTACATGATGTAATTTTATGAGAAACTATCACATTCTTCCGTTCAAGCATACCAAATTTTTATGAAGGGTACCAGATAAGTCAAAATCTAGTAGAGTAGACTATAGTTTTATAATTTGAAAAATAATATGCAAGGTTAATGACAATAAAACACAATAAAACACCTAAACTTTTTTTATACCACAAATAAACACCTAAACTTTTTTTATAAAAGCGTAACTATGTTACTCTCATGCAAAACACAATTTAAGAGGTAGTATCGAATAATAAAAAAGAGTCAATCTTAAAATCAGTATACTCTTTTATCTATGTCTATAGATTAGTAAATTAGCACATATATTAGTGGGGGAATAAGTAAATAAGTTGATGTGAAAATTAGGTAAATAGAAATAGGAGATGACCATTTCATTTTAATGCCAAAAAGTGTGAGAAATATAAGAGAACGTCAGAAGATCATTGAAAAAATCATTGAAAAAAAGGTTGTACTTTTAGCAATGTTGTCAATGGAACCCTTTAGTAATAATGGAAATAAAACTCATATTGATTTCTCTATAAAACTTTGGTGTGCAATTAGACCATGTTCGTATAAAATAGCAAGGCCAAATAGAAGTTGATTCTTATTATAACCTTCATATAATATTATTATTTTAAAAACAAAATTAATTTTATAAAACTACACTTAACTGTTTTTTAGGGGGTATTATTGATAGTAAAATAGGCCATCCATAACATCTTTTATATTAAATAATTATAAATAACATAAGCATAAAACTTATTATTGATTATTAGCCATTGTAGAAGCATAAAAGCTATTGAATCTACATGCAAGTTATTATGCTACTATTATTTTTCTCTCAATTTGTTTCTTACATAAGCAAGCCTACACTATAATTTCTGCATTGAGAAGCATCTATGTAATTTTTTTTTATGTTGGGGTATATTTTCTTTGAAAAATCTGCATAACAATTTTTTTTATTATGACAAAAATACAGCCCCTTTCATCCTCTCCATCTCTTTCTTCCAATTTTCTAATTCCAGCAGCTCATTACAACTATTATAAAGTGATAAAGTGGAGAGAGAGATATTTAACCATGATATATATTTATAACAAAATAATATATACTAAGAAAGAAGGTGTAAATGTATAAATTGCTAATACAATTTAACACTTTCAACCCAAATACATAATAGAAGTCACCGTATTTTACTATTATTTATATTTCATATTTCGTTTTCAAAAATCCTATAAAAATACATTAAAGTTTTTCTTTCATAAAAAGTATTAAATCTGCATCTTTCTAACAGGATGAGACTTTCAATTTTAATATCCACATTACACTTCTATGTCTTCAAATTAAAGCAACCTGTAAAAAAACTGAAACGTAAATGTTGTTATTTGTCTTTGATTTTTTATATGAAAAATAAATAAAAGTTGAGTAGAGAGAAAGTAAAGAATAAATAGATAACAACTCATGTGTACGTGGGAATCAATTAATTCATATTCATATGAAGAGAATAAAGTACCTGATTTTCAAATCTTCAAGTTTTTTTTCTTCAGATTTTCCTGTCATCAAACAATCGAGTGAGAGTTTAATAAGTGAATGATTGATGAAGATGAAAAGAAGTTTTTTTTCTTCAGATTTTCCTGTCATCAAACAATCGAGTGAGAGTTTAATAAGTGGATGATTGATGAAGATGAAAAGAGATTATGAGAGAGAATAAACATGACTCTTATATATTGAATGCATAACATTGAATGTTACACCACGACCTACAAATTTTTTTGAAGTTAAATTTATTATATGTGTATTTAATGACAATGAAAAATTGTAGTACATAATTTGAATTAAGATACCGAGACATATTGAAATGAATGCGCATGGTGAAAAAAAAAACTCACCAAATATGTTTCTACAAACTAAAATATTGCTATTAATTTTTAAGACTATGGCTAGAGCTTATTAATAAAATACTACATTATTTTTATAAAAAAAACTATAGCAATTGTTATAGTTCTATTTTCATTTTAGAAAACCCAACTTTGGTATTTTTGCTTAAACCAACTTTTACAATTTTTCTGTTCTATATTACTTTTAACTTAAAACTATCATTAATTTCTAAAATACAATCTTTGAATAATGAGATGGAAAGAAGAATACAATCACCAATTAAAATGAGTTTCTTTTGCAAGGATATGAGAAGAAGATACTATGAAAAAAATACGTAATGATACAAACACAAATGAAGCTTTAGACAAAAAGAACAATTCTAAATAAACAAAGATACACTCCATGCATTCAAAGTGCTCCACAATTTTATCACAGCAAAACAATAATCCAAGCATTTATAGTTATGTTGACAAAGGTTACCATAAAGATAGATGATTTTGGGAGGGTGTTCGTTTTGTGTGCAGCCATTCCTTTTTCAGTTAAGAGAGTTTTGTATGCAAATCGTCAACATTAATTTCATCGTTAGAGAGAGAGAGTTATTTTTGCAAAAAAGAAGAAGGAGAGGTTATAAAGATATTATTAGAATGGAAGTTAGATTTTGAGAGGGTTGTGAAAAGTTGTAAAAACCAACTTCAGTAGTTATGCATTTTTAAAAACCAACTTCAGTAGATATTATTAGAATGGAAGTTAGTTTTTGTGAAGGGTGTTAAAGGAATAATAGGGTGAATTATTGGACAAAATTGGAAAAAAAAAAGCTACACCAAAATCATTGTTATTCCCTTTATATATATATATATATATATATATATATATATATATATATATATATATATATATATATATATATATATATATATATATATATATATAATCATTGTGAAATCAAATGATATGCCAATAAAAAGTATAGTGATACAACTGAAAAATTTATAATGGTCAAAATTAAATATTATACTAACTATATAACATTAATATATTTCAAAGATGAAATAAATCATGAGTTTACATTATATCAAGGCTTATGTAATATCTTATTAATATAGGAATAAAAGTTACACTGATTGACTTTATTGTTGGACTTTCAACTAGGGAGCATTGAACATATTGGGACTTTTTTCTAGAGCAACCTTTGTGAGAGACACACCACATACTCACCCAAAACCTTAAGGTGATAGGTGTATGGGTTCTCTCACTTATAAATGCTCAAGTCACTACATTTCTATCCAATGTGGGACTATTATCCACCCTACTCACACTTGTTAATACTTAACACTCTCCCTCAAGTGTGAGTCTATCCCACTATGCCAAAAAAGACCTTTAGCAGCGCTTTTTTTTGCCTTTAACAGCGCTTTAAAGCGCTGCCAAAAGTGGCGCTGCTAAAGGTAAAGGCAGCGTTTTTTTTCAATGAAAAAACGCTGCTAAAAGCTCCCTTCAGCAGCACCTTTAGCAGCGCTTTTGTAAGCGCTGCATAATTCCCCCAACCATCCCCCCCTTTAGCAGCGCTTTCACAAAGCGCTGTCTTAGACCCCCCCCCCCCCATTTAGCAGCGCTTTTACAAAGCGCTGCCATAGCCCACCCTTTAGCAGCGCTTTTTACAAGCGTTGTCTTAGACCCCCCCTTCCAAACCTATAGCAGCGCTTTTGTAGCATAATATTTGTGACCTTTAGCAGTGCTTTTTTGTAAAAGCGTTGTCTAATGTCCCAAATTTTAAAATTTTTTTTAAAAAAAATATTCACCCTGTTTTGTATATTTTACCAACAACCTGTTTATATTACACAAACCTGCTTATAATTCAGGCCTTTATTTCAACACTTTGGCCTTATAAATACAATTCAAACTTTGGCCTTAAATATACAATTCAATCTTTGGCCTTATATGTACAATTCAAAACTTTGGATACATTGTAACTCATGACTTTGTTCATAAACATTTTAATATACACATAAACCTGTTTAAATATGTTACAACAAAATTCGATCCTCAGAATTACAACAACACAATTACATTCAATTCACATATAATTACAAGTCTTCCAATCCGATAACTCTATATAATTCTCAACCCAAGTATAAATTGACACCATTCCTCTTTAATTTCTTCCAATTTT